ATATATATATATATTGATTTTATTTTACTTTTTTTAAAGATTATATAACTTTTTATATATAATATTAAGCATTATTTTTAATCATGTTGACTGAAGGGCAACCTTATAGCTTTGATAAACCTACTAACTAAGAACTAGAAATAAAAAAGATATAAAAATTCAAACTTGTTGGTACTTTAAATATTTTTATTTTTATATTAAATATACCTGCTTGAGAAGTTCACACCTAGAGATATACTGTATTATTCAAATATGATATTTTGAATATTTTTATACATATATATAAATATTTATTTAACTATTCAGAAAAATGAGGACATATATTTCACTAAACTTGATATTCATTTTAAGAGCATTAATTTCTTCCCAGTTTATCCAAATGTTAAACATTAGTGATATATTAATACATGTATATATATTCTAAAAGTCTTATGATTATTCTATGTTAGAAACATGCACATGTATGTACAAAAACGAAGATTTTACACACAGTTACATGGGTTTTAACAAGATTAGCTTATTCTTTGCATCAGATGTGGTGAAGCATCCATGTCAGAAAAGCAATGGAGGATGCCAACAAATTTGTGTTCCTTCATCAGCCAATCAGCGTACTTGTTTGTGTAGCACAGGATACAAAGAGAAGGATACAACAAAGTGTGAAGCGTACTCCTCATTTGTTGTGGTGTCAGAGCTAGATAATGTACGTGGATACAGTTTAGAGGATCATAGTGAGGCTATGCAACCCATAGCTGGGTCAGGTAAGTACTGTCATACCTTGAGAATGGTATGTGTGCTCACATAATATAAAAATAATTTCAAGTAATTGAAAACATCTGACTGCATTTATTGTGACTGAAATGGTGGAGTTATTAGATCTGTTTAGTATTATCTTAATTGTTATGTAACTAAATATTTAAATTAATACAAATTTTTGAATATTTTTAATAACAAGTTTTAATATTTGAAGTAAAACAAATGTATAGGAAACTAGAAAGATATTTATCTTTGTTTTGTATTTAATAGGTCACAACATACTGCATCTGGATGTTCATGTTGCAAAAAAACACATTTATTGGGTTGAATTTAATCAAGAAGAAAGAATTGGTATTTATCGTATCAAGCCTGATGGCACAGACTTTGCCCATGTGATTTCTAGTGGTATTGGGAGCTATGGGATTCGTGGTCTTGCTGTAGACTGGTTGGCAGGTAAGTTGTTATTAAGGGGGGGAGATAAAACCTGATGAAAATTAGTAGTTTTAATGAAAAATGATGTTTCATAATTACTGACTGGATAGATCCTAGAATGCATCTCTGTACACCACATGAGGAGTTTTCAGAAGTCAATTTCCTACTTTTTTTGTTAACAGAAAGGTATATAAATATCAGTTCTTAGTGATATAAAAATGCTTTTACTTAGAATTGTAAATATGAATTATCTGAAACAAAATGTTGTATAATATCAAGAATTAGCACACATATATATATCCTTCAGTTAAGAAATTTTGTATTTGTAACATTACATCTGTATGGCAGAGAACCTGTACTTTACCAACGTTTTTCCTCACGAGACTTTTGTCGAAGTATGCTGGTTGGATGGCTCCAATCGTCTTGTGCTTTTCAAGACCACAACAGATTCACCACGAGAAATTGCAGTCAATCCCATTAAAAGATTCTTATATTGGATTGACTATGGAAAATACCCCAAAATCGAAAAATCTCTTTTAGATGGAACAAATCGCACCCCAATTGTAGTTACTGGGATCACCAGTCCACGTGACTTAACTGTTGACATCACAACTCACAATGTGTACTGGGTTGACTCTAGAGAAGATGCTATCCAGGTAAGATAAATGGTGTCCTTAATGTATGTGGAAATGTTTTTGGGTGAACAGTTGTTGCTATAAGGAAAATAAACAAAAAAACCTATGGAAACCAGTTTATTTAGTTTTAGCTGACCCATTTTTACTGAAGGTTTTCTTTGTTTTTAAAGGTATGCAGCATAAAATACTAATATTCAAAATTATTTCAGCACAAATAATACAAAACTAAAATTTACTTATTAATTGAGAGTTTTTTTTACATCATTATTTAAATATTTTTCAGCGCGTGTCCTTCAGTGGTGGTAGAAGAGAATACATTCGACGAAATTTGCCTAATCCAGTGGGTGTAGCAGTAGTTGGATCAGAAATGTACTGGGTGGATCAGAATCTCCAAACAGTATTCAAGGCTACAAAGCAACCAGGAGATACATCTTCTCCAAAATTAATCAAATCTGATTTGTACACACTGATGGACATTGTAATTTTTGATAAGAATGTACAGCCAATTAGTAGTAAGTTTGTTTTAATTTTTAAAACCTTATAACTCACTACATCAAGCACTTTACTGTTTTTGTGAAGATTGATTTAGTTTACTTTACAAATGAATTGACTGTGAGGAATTACAATTTCACACTTATTTTTGTTTTAATTACCTGTAATTACCTTAAATGTACCAAATTCTCAAGTGACTCACTACTTTACTTGTTTATACTAAAACTTAACAATAGTAAATTAGAATCACTGGTAGTCTTTGACTGTTAGTTTAGGCTATGTTTCAATGACTGGACAAGGTTGACTGTGGACACCAACTGCTTTGGAAGCACCATATCCTCTTGGTGAGGTGGTCAGTGAGTACTGATATTTATGGTAAAACCCCTAACTATGTCACTACCTACTTACCCTCTCATCCAAGAGGATTCATTGATGTCACAAGTCCCACTTTTCAAGGGACAGAGAATCAGTCATAGAAGATTTAAGAATGATTTAAGTCATCTGAGTTGCCAAACCTTACGAGATTATGACTGAAAATATCAAAACAGCAAGGGTATCCAACTAATTAATTAGTGCATTATAATCATTATAAGTTTTTGTTTTATGACCTTGCCTACTCCTAGTTAGACTGGTTCATTAAATTGGCTACATTATTCACTAAGTTAATTTTTAGTTCTGATGTATGTAGATAGTTAGCTATGAACACTAGATATCAAATCCATAAGTCGATGAATACAAATTTCTAACTAACATTTAATAGCACTTGAAGTCTGGAAAACAAATTAAGTACCACAAATTAATTTGGATAACATGCTTATATTACTTATTGTAAAAGTCATTAGGCACATTAAAAAGTTAATTAAAATTCAGTAATTAGCAAAGTTTCTGTCATAATTTAGGTTATAACACTAAAAAATAATTCCTTTCTTGTTTATTTGAAAAAGCTTAAAATAGTAACTGATATAAAAGTTTGTTTACTTTCAGTTCAGTATTATGACTAACACTGATAAGTGTTGCTTGTTTGTCACCCTTCTTTCACTGCACTTACCCAAAATAATTTTAACAATTAAATGATAGTTACATGTTAGATAACATTAATACCTACCTAGAATTCTTTCCAACTTCTTTAAGTATGGAACCCAATGACCAAATGGTATTTTATTTTATTAGATAACTTTCCATGAATTTAAAAATAGAATCAGTAAACTTTGTCATGTTGCTGTCTTCAATGAAGTGCATAAATAGTTTACATTATTTTTACATGCCAATTATTTCCACAAATCTTAAAAGGCTGCTAACATTATTGTCCAGGAAAGTGGAAAACAGTGAATTAACCTAACAGTTACAGGCATAGGAACAATCCTTTTTCTTCTCCTCTCTGGCCCATACTACTCCCCTGAATACACAACAGTACATGTAAAACTTGAAGCTACTTTCATTAGTAAACAAAATCAGCTATGTTATATTACAAGCTACAACTTTTACAGTAAGTAAGATTTGTTTGTACAACAGGTATGACGTTTCGATCACTGGTGCGATCATTCTCAGATACACAAGAATGATTGCACAAGTGATCAAAACGTCATACCTGATCTAAAAAACAAATCTTACTTACTGGAAAAGCTGTAACTTGAAATATAATATAATTAATCAGTAAGTCAACTCAAAACGAAACTATTAAGAACTACTAGTCTAAACTTACAGATGTGAGTTTTGACTTTATTTGACTAATTTATTTTGCAATCATGTTTTATTGTTTTAAAATATGCTACTATAACTATTTGAAAAATGTTTTGGACCAGCAGTACCTTCTATTTGCAAATCAGTAAACTCCATTTCATTATGTTTTTTAATTGAAAATTAAATAATTTGAGAGTTATGTTTATGTTTGTTTGTTGATAAGCACAAAGCTACACAATAGGCTCTCTGTGCAGTGCCCACCATGGGTATTGAAATTCAGTCTTTAGTACTATAAGCCTTCAGACTTACTTCTGAGCCACAGGTGGGTGTGAATAAAAGTTATAATTTCTATTCCTTGGAATATGCAAACATATTGAATTTCTTAAAGAAACACTTAGTACATCCACATGAAAGAAAATATTTTAATAAACTAGTTACCCTTACCTGTACAGGAAAACCAATATTACATATGATCTAACTTGGTACATGATGGTATATCAGCTACAACAATCAATGAGTTACAAAATGTTCATTGATTTATTTTCTTATGCTCAAAATTTCAGGGTAAAACAATTACCTTTAAAAAGTGGCTCTGATAGATATAGTTTACAAACACCCATTTAAACATTTTTTACACTAAACTTTACAAATGATATTATAATGATGATTAAAGTTCTAGTTAATTATTAATACCTTTTATTGTGCCAAAATATGTCAGGTGACAAAATTAGGTGAAACTTACAACAAAAAATAATAAATCAATGAACATTTTGTAACTCATTGATTGTTGTAGCTGATATACCATCATACAACAAAAAATAATAAATCAATGAACATTTAGGCACTCTGAAATTTAGGTTAGCACTAAATATGTAGCCCCACAGATACTTAAGGCAGGTGCAACACAGTCCACTGTGAAGCTTTGTACTTAATAACAAACAAACAAATGAAATATATACACTTGTAATGGACTAAAACAAAACTCCACTACAATCAGGGTGAAACAAAAATAACTTATTAAAATATAGTATAAATACAACTTTGAAACAACTACAGATCCTTTCATTTACAAAACGTGATTAGGAAACTCGTGCCTGGCCAGGACTAGGTACAAATGTAAATAAACAATACAACATAAATCTCAGTGCTATTAATTTCAATAAATAAAGGAATTAGGACAAAATACCAGAAGAAAAAAAAGCAATATTCCAAAATTAAACCACTTCTCAAGATCACTAACAATATCAAGCATAATTCTTTCTAACTCATTTAGTCATTAGGCCATATCTCATGTTACTATCTATTACCACGAATCTACATAATCTTTCACAACATTAATATTCATATTTTGTTGAATACTATTTATAAAATAATTTGATGGTTTTACTATACTTCAGAAAATAATTTCAGATCGATTAAAACAGCCTTATATAAATAAAAATTATGTCTTCTAGGTCAGAACATTTGTTCCAGACAAGAAAATAGAATCTGTGAACAGTTGTGTTTTGCTATGCCAGAAGGAACTAAAGCAAAGAATAGGAAATGTGCTTGTGCCGTTGGATCGCTGGCTGTTGATGACCAGTCTTGTGAAGGTGGTTTATTTTCTGTTTTTTATTATTATTTTGGGTTTATTATTGATTTTAATTCATGTACCACATCAGGAACTCTAAATATTATTTTAAATTCTGTACTGTGCAATTGTAAATCAAGATTTAAAATATATTAATTTTTCTTTTTGCCACAGGATGATGTAAAATTAGAACTTTCTAGGCTTACTTAATGTCATCGTTAAGAGCCACAACTCCTTCTAGCTAACAAACAAATTGTAACATTAAGAATATAGTTTATGAAAGTATGTTATGCTATTGTGAGCTCAGTTAAACTTTATATAGTTTGATACCCAGTTGCAATTATCATTAACTAATATACCAGGCTAACTGGGAGTATGAAGTGTCATACCACAAAAACTTATAATGATTAGAATGTATTGATTTATTATTTGGATACTCCACACTGTAATACCATTGGTATCTGATGAGGTTTAGTAGCCATTTGAAATTTAAACATTTGTTATCTCTAAAGAAGTGAATATTAGATCAGAAGAAGTTATAAAGTACAAGCCTGCAGAGTTCCAAGTTTGAATCCTACAAAATTGTAATTGTAATATTATAATATT